AAGAGGAGGACGCGATGAAAAGGTATCTGCAGAGGATCTTGATGCTGAATTGGACAAGTACCACAAAGAGGCAATGGAAACAAGTTAAAAAGAAGCGGCTATATCCAGTGCAAGATTATATGTATTCCTTTAGTGCATGATATGCTTTTGTATGAGTATGATCTTTAGATTGATGTCAATGGGTCTGACATTATCGAGGTTTAGCTATTATTTTCATTCTCTTTGTGAGCCTTTTAGCTTTTGCAGTTGTTTTTAGAGAAACAAGCATTGTGTGTACGTTGGATCTCAAACTCTTTTGAAGTGTTTCTTCAAAACAAAATTACATCCAGATTAATCATATATAAGCTATGGCATTAAGTTGTAGTTAGTCCAAACTTTGAGTTTGATCATTGGAGAAATTAAGCAATAGATATAAGATAATGAGACCCACTAGAAATGTACCTTTTCATAGCTAAGAAATTGGTGGAACACAACATCAACAACACCTGAATACAATATTACTTGGCTACAAATCCTAAGAGAGTTTTACGACCCAAGAACATGTTGACAGAGCCAGAGAAGACCCATAAGTAATTATCAAATGTAGTTTATATGATTTTCATCTTCTTGCTTTTCGAGAATTCGATCCTTTTCCTATCAAGAAGAAGACACAGACAAAAAAAGATTGTATTATATAGTGAACCTCTCTTTCATCAAAAGCAGTTTGAAAGAACAAACCTTTAGATGGAGTGGAGTTAGTCCTATGACCATCATTTACTTGGATAAGATTCCGCCCCTGCAAAACCATAAGAGAAAATGTTAGTGAGTCTGTTTTCATGATTGGTGAAGTTAGTGTTACTCAAAAACCAAGTCACAAACCATATCATAAACAGGAACTTGGTTGCGCCAAAACTCTAGAGGTGACACAAGCAACCTTCCTGCAAAATATCAAACAGAAACCTTCTTTTACTAAATGCTCCCAACAAAACCTTTCAAAGTGAAATATGTTTCTACTCTCTATTAACCTGATCTTGACCGTTTCTGTCCTAACGATCCAGTAGAATCTGCATTTGTCTTCTGCTTCTTCGGTTCTTTATCCGGTGTTACCTTTGCATTACACAACAACGAGAGTATCATCAACTACTATAAGCCAACAACATGAAAATCATATGAATTATCCATTATGATTCATATCTAAATTGATAATAACCAAAATGTGAGATGTTACAAAAGGGAAAGTAGTTACCTCCAAATCAAAGTCGATCTTCCTCCTTGTTTTAACCCATGACATGGTTTCTTCAGCTTCATTAACTTTGGACCCCGAATGAATCATAGGCTCTACTACATTGGAATCACTTTTAAGTGTCTTCTCACTTTTCTTTGATTTTCCTTTCTTTACAGGCTTGCTACTCTTATCTGAGTCTTTAAACAGGGAACGGAGAGCTGCTCCTATTTCCTTAAGTTTATCTTTTCCCTGTTCTAAAGTCAGTGATTCTCCCCCAGCACTCTTACTTGTTAATTTATCTACATTATCTGCACCGGTATGGTTTCTACCACATTGATCCTCTGGAAATATCACCTCATTATCGGTAGCCTCACATTCATCTTTTTCTACATTACTGCTCTTAGCCTTACCCAAATCTTCACTACCATAATCTTCATCACGAATCGTATTCTGCACTTTACTTGATTCAAGTTTTCCACCAGATTTTGATTGCCAACGAGGAGACTTTCTTCCAGCTGATTTTTTATCTATTGTTCTAGAACCGCCATTGCAACCATCTTCATCTTTAATCTCTGCCGTGTTTGTCTTGGTCACTGTGCTTTTATCTCTGCTCTCGGCTACACTATCCTCTAGATTCCCTTGGTTGTTCTTACATGGTGATAAAATGGGAGAACAAGCTGCATACGTAATCAGACAAAAACGATATTTCAAACACGGATGCATCCAAAAACAGACTTAAAGATGTTGCTTCAAGTCCTAACCTTTATCTATTACCGAATGGACGGTATTGCTACCAGTGCCAAGAGAGCCTCCTCGAAAGCAATTGTTACAAACTTGTTCCCAACGAGGAGGAAACCCGAAGATGAAATCTCGGCAAATCTACTCACAGCATAAAAAATAGGCAGAACAAAACCAAGTCAGTCAATTTACACATTTGTTCTTTCTTCCCTTAGCTCAACTTTCAACATAAGAAGAAGATTATTACCTCAGGGATAAATCCACTTTCAAGAACGCGTTTTTTGTTGAGAAACCCTTGGAGAGTGATGCAAATTCCATCAGATGCTTCGAGTGTGAAAACATCAAAGGCTTTAATTATTGGGGAAGATGTAAACACACGCATTGCTCGTTTCCTAGTAAACAAAATTCAATC